GTGTCATTAGTGGTGCGTTATGTTTATTTTAGTGTCGCATTTCCTTTGTTAGAATAATTTAAAGAAGCAGAACCATCCAGCTATGACCTCACTCCACATGGCGTGCAGTTTTATAGCCAGTAGCACATGGGGGTTTGTTTGGTGCACACACTAAAAAAAAAGGCCAATAGAGCAGGACTGTGTCAACGAGGCGTACGTCTGGCCTTTAAGGTTGACTACAGGTTTATTTTGAAGACAAAATGACAGAAATATATCCTAAAAAATCAGGCTGCAATGTGGTTAAACTAAGCAGGATAAAATTAAAATTGCGTCCCCTTGTTTATTTCTGTCTTTATTTTCCTGTCTACAATAGATGCGGTGTACAACAGAAGGGATTCTACCTGTGTAATATGACTTAAATGTGAAGAGATTCAAAATTCTATCTCCTCTCAGTAATTGAAGTGCTTCTCAGCTGAACAGAACGGAAAAACAAGGAGTTTAAATGCACTGTATTAGAAAATGCAGGCTCAACTGTAGGAATTCATTGTGAAAAAGTTCTGCACACCTTTTATTCAGACTATTCTTTCAGTATGACTATTATTTTGTCAATACTTGATGTGTCCACCTATATTTTCAGCCCTCCTCTGCATGGAGGATACCAGTGTTGCAGACATTTCTGGAGAGATGTTCTTCCATTAGTCAGACGCTGTTTTTTCAGCATCTCTTTGCTTGGAGAGGTTGTGTTGCTCTGCGTTGGTCATTAAAATACCCCAAACGTGTTGGCCGGGACATAGTTTCTACTTTGCTCCTCTTTAGAAACTCTGTGTGATTTTGGCAGTGTGCTTTGAATTGTTCTCACACTGGATTATTTCTCTTGTGTCAGCCAGTATTTTGGTATGTTCACAGACGTTCATGGTGCCATCGATACATGTCATCTCTCAACACCTGTTGCATTCGTGTAGCCCCATATCTTTGCACCCCCACCTCCATGTTTCACTGTGGTCATCCTGGTCAGGTTTATGCCCAACATGCTGTCTGAGCTGAACACATTTTTCTTAGTTTCATCCAACAACTAAAAAAAAAAAGTGGCTCCTTTATTCATCAGATTACCATTTCGTGTTCTTGGGGAAAGTTTAATCTTGCAAAAAAAAACACACAATGATTTTTTTCTTAGTCACGTCTGTGCAGGTATGCAAGTAGCAAACTGTTTGTGATGCCATTATAATAGAGCAGCCACCGCAGCTCTAAGGTACAGAGCATAGACTGTATAAAAGATGGACGTAGCAACCGGCCCTGAAAAATGAAGCCAACCCGAAAGTGTCAAAAACCTACGTCCGCCAGCTGCTGGCTCCAAAAAGCTCTGGCTCCCATAGAAATGAATTGGAAAAGAAGTGATCACAGGTCACGAAATACTGCATTCCTACAGCTCAGGATTTTTTTCTTACTAGTTTTCATAGTCAGGGATAGTCAGAGTCCTTCGTTTTGTTGTACTTGTTACAATGACAATAAAAAAACAAATCTGAAATCTGAATCAGAGATCAGGTGGCCAATCTGAAAATAAATCAATACTGAATTTTTAAAAAATCGTCAACATTTCAACAAGGGGCGTGGCTGGCTTGATTGACAGCCGGCCGCAACGATGCAGACGAAGCGAGCAGAAGGCAGTAAATGTGGGCGGGCAGAGAGGGCCCGCCTCTCAATCCGTCTGACCAATCGCTACTCCTATAGCTCCGCCCCCCTCCGACGATTTTTGCGTCACTGGCTCCAAAAATCCGTCTGACCAATCGCTGCTCCTATGGCTCCGCCCCCCTCCGACGATTTTTGCGTCACTGGCTCCAAAAATCCAAGATGTCAACCAGGAAGTAGCAAAACCCTGGCTTCATTTTCTCAGTGCAGA